TCAGGGCAAAGGGATTTTCCTGTTCAGGAAATTGAAAGATATTATAGACTGGAAGAAGGTAACGTTTATTCCTTTTATGAAAAAAAGTTATAGTACTTGCAATTACTAAATTGGACTGACATGTGTTGTATTTCACAGGAAAGCTCTCACTCAGAAGAGCAGAAAGATGCAGCACCTGTGGAAAACTATGTGGCACAGAGATATATAGAGAACCCTTACCTGATTAATGGTAATCAGCTGAAATACTGATATAAGATAATATAGTATCAATATAAGACATCCCATTATTATATGTTGTAAATCCTCACTTGACATGTTTTTTTTATTATCACAGGGAGAAAATTTGATTTGAGAGTTTACGTCCTGGTCACGTCAGTATGTAGCAAGAAGTCATTAGTTTTTATTTAAGTTGTCAACATTGCTGTTATATCTGCACATTGTATATATACACATATATATTGTGTTGTTTTTCAGTATGTTCCCTTAAAGGCATGGTTATACAGAGACGGTTTCGCTCGCTTCTCAGGAACTCGCTTTTCGCTCAGCACCATCGACGATAAGTGTATCCCTTTCTTTTTTTTACCTGCCAGTGTTTGAAGGTATAAAGAATAATCCACAGCACAAGTGTGGCTGAAATATTCCCATATTGTCAGGCTCCTGTCCACTGAGATTTCTGAGTGTTCCTTAGTGTTTATTTCAGACATGCACCTCACTAATGTGTCTGTTCAAAAAACAGCTCCAAACTATAATCATGAAAAGGTATGTATCCAACAACAACAACAACAACAAAAAAAACACATAGTGCAAAAAGTACTCTTTTTTTTCTTGCATGAATAATGTGGAAGTAGACTAACAATGAAGTATGGTGGTGGCAGCATCATTCTGTGTGAGGATGTTTTGTTTATTAAGTCCAAATATGATGGGAAAATAAATTCAGCTAGACAATTCAAAGTCTTGGAAAAATAAAAACCTGTTAAATGGTCCAAACTACTTGAAACTGTTGCTATGGTATCCACCCTAATGATGTAATATTGTCAAACTGTGATACATGTAGCATTAGCAGAACTAGCGCTACCCTTAGTAGTACTCAGAAAGAATTTTGACACTAATTATTTACAAATCAAACTAGGTAAAACTTTTAAAAAATCAAATGTATAGTTAAAATACTGGGAAAACCAGATATCAGTCATATATGAATGATTCAACCGTGCTGCAATCAAGTGAAAACTGCTTGAAAAATAAATCCAAAGGTACTTAGCAATGCATTTTGAGAGCTCCTGTCGAAGCTGAGGTGAGCGACCATAAACCTGGAACAAATGCCAGATGCAGCATCGGCTGAGTCTCTGAGCCTCCAGTTGGCTCGACAAACTCCACATCTGAAACTAATCAACGTTCTACAGCAAGACTTTAAAAGTACTTTTCCCAGATGCTCTTCATCCAACCTGACTGCACATTATTTTCAAGGAAAAGTCCTAAGGAACCAATTGTGGCTCCTTAGGATATTGCAAAATGAAAAAAAAAAATGTAATTTTCAGTTTCCACAATTTTAAATTAAATTGTTGTGATTTATCACATAATCTCAAATTTGAAGTCCGTAATGTGACAAAATGCAAGGATGTTAAAAAAAAAAGTATAATTACTTTACGAGGTGTTGTACATGTCTGACGTTTTGAAAACGTATGTCATGCTATTTGCTGTTGTAGGTGCATATGTCACTGTTCTGCTTTATATACAATAGGGATGCAAATGGCAGATGCAACAGCTTCGGAGATACCTGACTGCCAAACATGGTAGGGAGTTGATTGAAATCCTCTTCAAACAGATGGATAACATCTTTATTCGAAGTCTGCAGAGCGTCCAAAAGGTCATTATAAATGACAAACATTGCTTTGAGCTCTACGGTTACGATATACTTCTGGACGAGAAACTCAAGCCGTAAGTGCTTTACCAATGTGAGCCTTTGTTTTACAATCCCTCTGTTTTTCTCGCTCTGAAAACAAACTACAGGCTGACATGGAACGTGACGTACTTGTCTAAAAAAAAAAAACAAATAAATTTGCTATTATAATTTTAACTGTAGCTAAAGCTCCACAGCAGGCCTTGCGCCATGCAAAAGTATCATGTTGAGGTTTTCTGTCACTCTAGCTCCGAATGCCACCTTCCATTTCCTCACAGGTGGTTAATTGAGGTGAATGCATCTCCATCTAACTCCCCCAGCAGTCGGGAGGATTACGAGATGAAGTTCAGACTACTGGAGGACACTTTGAATGTTGTTGACATGGAGGGAAGGTAAAAGGCGTCGTTATCACTATGATTGCACTTTGACATGAGCAAACTACACGTGGGGGACTTCCTGTCTTTGCATTAAACGCAGAGTTCAAAAAGAATGGCTTTCGCCATCTCTTAGGCACGTAATATCGAATAACTGTATGGTATGAATGAACATGCTACAGAGGTAAAGATGGACTAGCATGTAATTAGACTTCCGAGATAAAGTCTGTCCAGGGGATGATAGGCACTCTAATGGATTGTTTTCTTTCTCATTAGGCTGACTGGCAAGGAGAAAAGAGTGGGAGGCTATGATCTCATGTGGAACAATGGGCCTGTCTATAGAGAGGATATCTACCTACAAACATTTGGCAGTTCATGTTTCACTGCCAACACATACTTGGGTAACTTAGCAGCAAAGTTAATGCAATCTTAATAAGGGGAGGGGGGGAAAAAGAGGACTCATTTTTTTGGTTTTGAAAGTGATCCGCTAATCTATTATTACCATTCAGTTCATAGGGGTGTGCTTTACGGTCTGAATTGCTCTATTAATAATGACCCTCTGGTTTTGCCTGTTCTTCATTGCAGGGTGTCTGAATGACAGAGAGAAGCAGCTTCGCCATCTTTTTAAACCATTCCCATTTCAGAAGAGGACCTAATTGTGTCCGGAATCTCCAACACGGCTTCACTTTTCTTTTCTTTTTCTTTTTGTGGTAAAAGACGCCGACCCAGTTTCCCCCAATGTTTTCTGCATGTAAAAACAACATTTGAACCAATTTTGAACGTGCAACAAGCAGGTTGATTTAACGAGACGGGAACAGACCGTCATGTCTTGTTTTCGCAAATAAAATTTGAAATGTGCATTTGTGTTCAATCCCCCTTTACTCTGATGCCCTACATAAAATCCAGAGCAACTCATTTTCTTAAGAATCTACCTGGGTCAAAATATAAATACAGCTACAACAGAATGGTTTAATCCACATGTGTTAGAGAAACCCAGTCCAACCCCGACTTTTGCAGTTCCCTGTATGCTGGTCTGTGCCAATATGACAAACAACCGAATGACAAGTTTTCTTGTGTCCAAAACATTTATTTCTATGCCTTACAAATACTCGCGTCCAACACTGAGAAAAATACCACAATCTTTCAACGTAGTGTATAGTCTGCACATGAACAATATTTGTCTGTCCCGGCCCCTTCACTATGGCTTTGACATTTTACATAAATATATACTTAGTGAGTGCAGTCATAGTACGTCACATCTACATTAGTTTTAGTGCTTTGAACATTTAAATCAAACTATAAAACAGACAAAGCGCTGCAATATTAACATTGCTCTACAGACATTAAGTATGTAGTGGAATGTGGAGGTGATTTGTCCGCCATCACCCAGTTTACAGCCCAGCTGCCATGATGTGTCAAAGCTCCATTCAAATCATTGGGATGACTGCAGAGGCCAGAGAAATTACATTCAGCTCTTCTACAAAACAATCCCTCTTTTTTCTTTATTCTTTTTTTTTAAAGTTAGTCACAATGTAAACATGTAGATGACAAAAAATAAATAAAAGTCGACCACAACGACGTCTCATAAATATAGCTATGGTATAGAAATTCTGGAAAAATACGCATTTACATTCGTAGCAAACAATCCACCGCCTTCAGTGACGAGACGACCTCACCTCTATGCAAAATACATCAAGTTAACGTAAACTACAATTCAAGCTTTTCGACAGTGCAAAGCCCTTGTAACAAAAGAAAACAAAACAAAACAAAAAAAAAAAAATAAGAGTGGTGAAAAAAACAGTACATCTCAAAGAAGTCACAAGATGATCCAATGCGTATCTTTTTGCTGAAGAGACGCTTAAACGTTTCAAACACGAGTCACAAAAGAATTATAATAAAAAAAAAAAACAATGACATAAAACAAAAATACATTCAAACATCAAAAGCTGCTTGAGTATTTTATGAAATGCTATGACTTGTACTAAATATCATTATGCATTATGTATGCTTGTATCTGTTTTCATTTATCCTATCTCTATTTTAACATTAGTAGAGAACGGAGGGATGACAGCGCAGTGCATTAAAATTCAGAGCTGTCTCTATGTTGATACTGAACCAGATGTTTAAGCAGAGCTCAGCTTTACGCTTTTAATTCCACTTTTTTTTTTAAACAAATGCCAAAAATACAGATGCCTCTCAATAAAATTAGAATATCGCTGGAGAGTTTATTTATTTCAGTAGTTTTATACGCGTGATGATGAGAGATTGTGGCTTACAACTCATGAAAACTCAAAATTCAGTTTCTCACATGATCTGAATATTAGCTAAGGAAATTATTTCTAAATAGACGCCCATGGACGACACAATCATGGGTAAGCCCACCGACTGGACAATTGTCCAGCAGAAAGTCCACCAGAAGGACCTCCTTCTGGGTAAGACGCAAAAGGAAAATTATGTGGAAGGACAGAACACCTTTTGAAAATGTATGCAATCTGTCATTAATCTTTATAAAATAAGTTTTACTTTCTAAATTTGTGAAATAAATATTTTTTTGAGGATATTAAAATTTATTAGGACACACCTGTATGTCTACTATTATCTACTAGTTGATGAATGACAGACCATGTCTACGGTTTAAAGGCTGTGTGCATCCTGCTGTATAAGGGTTAGAGCATGTTAGTTTTACACAGATTTTACACAAAGCAAGCATAGGTTTAGGATTATTTTTAACCAAGTAACCACTATCTAAAGCAATATACTTCAGGCCTATAGGGGTTACTTAGCAACAAAGTGCACATTTTTTGTTTTGCCATTTTGTTTAGGAATGCTGTGGCTGCTAGGTGGAGCTTTGGAGAGATTCGCTGGGTCTTTAGCAGCTCTTTTCGTGGCAGTTTTAGAGGCCTGACTTCCCGCCTCGGCCTTCTGACAGTCCCTCTCGTCTCTCTTGGAAGCGATGAGCTCTCTCTTGCTTCCAGGATGTCCCCGTTTCTCGGCGGCCGTGCCTTTGACCCCACTGGGCTCCTTCTTCACATCTGTCTCGGAGTTGGCTCTGACGCGGCTTTTCCTCACCTGCCCTCTGCCCTTTTGGTTAGTGCCGGGTTCCTGGGGTTGTTTCCGGGCGTTGCCCGCAGCCTGCATGTGCCTGAGATGACTCCTCCCAGCTGAGGGGCTAACTGGTGTTCGGGCCCCTGCCCCTCCGCCTTGTGCTCCAGGGCTCCTACCTTCAGAGGAGGCGGCTCGGGTCTCGCTGCTGCTCCGCTTCGCCGCCGCTCCTGGGCGCGCCCTGCGCTCAAGCAATGGGCTGAGCCGCGAGTGGTGCTGGTAGGCGTAGGCAGAGCAGCTTCCGTTGCAGAGAGGGTAGCGCATGTGACAGTGCGGACACACTGGAAAGCGGGAGAGCTGTTGCTGGGCTGAGGCAGGCGACGGCGGGTTGTTAACAGGTGTGAAAGGGAAGGCTCGCGAGCCGTGCCGCAGCCCTTTGGGGGAGTTGAGTCGGGAAGATGGCGCGGTGTGAGGTCTGGCCGAGAGCGCGGCCGTGGAAGAAGGGAAGCTCTGCGGTCTTGTGCGACCCCCAGGGGGGCGGCTGCTCTCTGCTTGCACCGTTTGGATTTGAAGCCACTCCAGCTGCAGCAGCCTCTCCAGGTACTTCTCTAAGGGCCCCACAGGCTTGGGTCGGGGGGCGCCGCGACCCTCTGTGTGAAGAAACACCGCCAGCTGTCTCAGGCTCCAGCAGTTGAAGGGAGGAGGCAGGAAATCAGAGTATGTGTATGCGGGTTTCTCACTCTCTTCTTCGTCCCCTGCCATCCCATGGGGTCCTGGAATATCTGGGAGGAAGTCATTAGTGTTAATGATCTCTGCCCGCAGGTTGAGGTGGGGCGGCGTGCACGGGGTGCACGGCGAGGGCAAAACGGGCAGCCGCTCAGAGTCTGACAGATCGCTAGCGCTGTCAGAGTCGTCCTCCTTGTTGTTGTAGTGCTGCTGCAGTGCTTCTGGGGTCGGAGCTGGAGAATGCATTAGCGGGTGGGATGACGACATCCGTAGCCCTGATATTGGAGAAATAGGCAGAGAGAGCGCTCGACGATTTTTTCCCATCCCCTGGCGATTCGGGAGGAGCTCGGTGCCGCACGGCGACAGCCGCTGATTTTCTCGTTTCTCCTCTTTCCTGTGCGCAGATGACTGCTTGCGAAGTTGAGGCCTAAACTCAACTTCTGCTTCAGGGCTGAGAAGAGACAGATGGATTTAGAGAGTGGGGGAGAAGTCGTTGGAGGATTTAGGGATTTAATGTACTTGAAGGAAAGCACTTAGAAATAATGCACACCACTTTTAGCTCTTACCTCGAGAGTTTGCTTGCATTTTGAGACGCACCTGACTTCATCCTGCCACCTTTAGACTGAGCACTCTGCAGAAAGGTAATTACAATGCAAAATCATTCTCAGTCCAATAAAGTAATATGCCAAGCTCCAAATAACTCAAAGTACTGTTCAATCCATTATCAGAAAATTAAAAGAGTACCGCTCAATTCCAAACATACAAAGACAGGGTTGTCCACCTACACTGACACACTAGACAAGGAGAGCACTAATCAAACAAGCAGAAAGATTTGCATGGAGGAGAAAAAAAGATCTGCTGCTCAGGTTGGAGAATTTGTAGACACGTGAACAATTATGTGTGCACTCTAAAAATAGTGATTGTTTATACAAAACCACAAAAAGTTGTGTATTCAGTTTGTCACAAGCCATGTCGGAAACTCATCAAACACGTGGAACAAGCAATTCCCAAACATACAGTCTGAGCCACAATTAAATGTTTAAGGTCAAAGGTTATTCATGTAAATAAATAAATAATCTGTGGTAGAACTTTCCACTGAACCGGACTGATTTTTAATTATATTACAAGAGTCACTAGATCTGTCAATCCCTAGATGTGCAAAACTAGTAGAGTGTGGATAATCTTACTTTCGCTTCACATGCAAGTGTGAAGTGGAAGTTCACTCTTATGTTTATAACATAACACCCCCCCTAAACCTACATTAAGTTTTCTGATTGTAAAATGCGAAAACATGAATTGGTTCAAGCAGTGCAGCTACACTATGCACTACTCAGCCGGTGTGAGTTTGTTGACTGCAGAAGGACGTTGTTCATGCTGTAGGGATACCACCTGTGCCTGGCCTCACACAGGCTTCTTGAATGAGAGCCCTGTGACCTGACTTAATACAAACAACTCAGCAAAGCCAGTAGGAAAACTTTAGATGGGTGTCAAACAGGTGCAAAGATAATCAGTTCTAATTGTACAACACATCTTACCCAGTGCTGTGCTGAATGAAAGGTGTAACTTTTGGACAGTCTATTCTGGCCCATTACTACTGGGCAGTAGTAACAGTAGTAACCTGTGGTATTAATACCTATTGCATACTAATTAGTCACGGTGCCAGTCACATACCCTCTGTAGGGCTGCTGTGTCCTTATCCTTATCTGGTCCCGGGAGACCATTTTTCATTTGGCTCATTGCTTTCGTGGTCTTGTTACATTTCTTTGAGCTATGAAACAGAAAATAGCATCAGGCATGTCTTTAAAAACAATACAATCCATAGCACAACGTTCAGTCCCATTAGTGTAGCAAATGCCTACCTGGTAAGTGACCCGCTATTTTCGGTATTCTTAACTCGTATCTTCTCCTTGGAAACGACGCGCTTCAGTGTTGTGGAAGCCGTGCGCTCCTGCATGATGGGGCCCATGTTGCACCACATGGGACGCTGCGTCTGGAGTCCAGCACGGATCTTGTCTTGCACGGTAGCTAAAGAAGCCAGCCGACATCTCTAATCAGACGGTCTAGTCTGAGAATACGGCTAAAATAACCCATTTTCTCCGAGGTGCTGCAATGCATCATGTGAAGACACCAGCCTCTCCTCTTCTGCTGCAGGTTTAACACACGAAGTACTGTTTTGGTCTTCGACGCTACGTCGCTGCTCAAACGCAATTCCGCTTTTTTTCTAATTGTAATTAACCTGTGACAAGAAAAGGCATATCTAATTCTACTGTCATCCTTTTCATCATTACGAATGCAACAAAGCAAAAGCAGCGCAGACGCTTTGTTTCCCTGTGAGATAGGTTTGTTTACCTGCTGCTGACTGGCTCGCTGCCTGTGCCGAAGCGAGCCGCCGGAGTGCATCATGGGACTTGAAGTGCAAGCGTCAGTAATCGAGATTTAAACCCGCCAAAGGCGCTGTTTAAAAGAGTCTACTTATCACTTTAAAACACTTGAGATGCAACAAATCTTATTTTGAGGCCCCAAAATAGATGCAGGAAGTGAAAAGCAAGACACACTTTTGGCAATCAGCTTTGAATTACTCAATCACCCAGCCAACATCAGTGGGCGCGTTTCTGAACAGTCAGCCGGCGAATCACTCGGCTACAAGAAATAACGGGACGGTTTTGGCGGAGGTTTCTCTAAAGTGAAGGTCAGGTAAGCACCTGTCTGAAGGATCTTGGTTGATAGCAGGATTAATAGCTGACAGGATAAATGTGCAGCAGTAACATAAACTAAACTACTATGTTTCACCTGCTTGTTGATATGCACACATCAAATAAATTTTCTATTGATTAATTATTGTCTTGTTATGCAAAAAAAAAAAAAAAAACAAAAAAAAAAAACTGCTATGTTTATTACAGTCAAGTGGTAGAAGTGGACATTTGCCAGTCATTTGAGAAGAGTATGGCTTCCGACACTATCTGGCAAAGCTCTGGTGACAGATGGAGAAACTTCTGCCGCAAATAAGAAACACACCAAATCAGTATTATGGTGGTGGCGGTAGGAGGTCGTCCTGTAATCGGTGGGGTTTAGCCCCTTTGCCATCCATCTCCATCGTTGTGTCCTTGTTGTGTCCTTAAAGTCCTGCCTTGTCCGCTGGTGCTAGTCAGAGGGCCAAGCAGCACTGGTGCTTCTGTGGCTACCATGTGGCATACCTCCATCGGCATTTGAATGTATGGGTAAGTTATTTAATGTCGTGTGAAATGCTTTGGAGTCCTCTGGATTTTATAAGATGTTATGCAAGTATTTGCCAGTTAGTAGGAAATTCATTGCAGGGTCTGGGTCCTTGCTGGTTCATCCTTTTTTTTTTTTTTTTTCCCCATCTCTCTTCCCAGTGTAAGTTTCGATATTCAGCTGTCTCAGGAGCTGGTCTGAAGGAGACATCATGATGGCCTGATCAACCAATGGGAACCGTACAGGAAGGAAATTGGATTCTATTTTTTTCTACTGCATTCTTCAAGAGAGAGTAACAAACTACTGGAATTTTGCAAATTAAACTGTCTCCAGAATCTGTTTTATACATTACACTTTAAGTATGCAATTTATTTGAATGAGAACACAAAATTTTGCTAATAAAGACTGCTTTTAATTACATATATTTTTAAATTAGTTAAGTAATTCACTTAAGAGATACAATAACATATATTAATATGTTACTTCCAAGCAAATGGCATTCCAAAGTCATGAAAATGTTCATATTTTTAAGATTTAGGAAATGACCCATGTGCGATGAAAGGGTGCTATGACAAACCTGTAAGGTGCATATTGTGAATTCCTGCTCATGAAACAATATCTACTGTTCATAAAACAAACAAACAAAAAAACAAGACACTTTCTTTATGTGCCATAAAAAAAGGGTTTCTGGCACAATATTGCAGCTAATTTGGTGCCAGATGAATGAATGAATAGGGGTGCTTGTTTTTTTTCTGTATAGGCAGGACTTGCTTCCGTTTCTCTGGTGGAGCCCTTAAAAGCAGATGCTTAAAGCATATATATCTTCATAACTGAGAGATACATAAACGAAGACTATGCAGTTATATTTGTACATGCACACATGTATAATTTCATTCCCACATACATCATCTACATATAAATATATATATAAGTTATTCGAAGCTAGAATCATGTTTTGCAGTTCCAATCCGACCCATTTTGAGTGCATACTTGAAAGGAAAAGCAGTTATAATATAATATAATTGTTCAATGTCTTAAAAAATAATTACCTTGTAAACATTAAAATCAAGGAGTTTATGATTCGTTTGAAATTTTTCCAGGCCACGCCCACCTTGGCGCCGTTTTCGTTTTCCATGCCAGCTGACAAATGGTGCGCACCCAAAGAGTTCCTCCTAACTGCGCGCTTGTTAGCCGATCTCCATCGACTTTACGCTGGGTTCATGGGAACTGTTAGTGTTCATAAGTCTGGGTTCATGCTTGAAATCAGTCTTGCAGTCTTAACGACGTAGCGCGACCCGAAATTCTGCCACACATTGCTTTATATGGAGGATCGAGCAATAAGCTACAGTGTTTCTGCAGCCTGCATGCAACACGCTTCGTATCTGTGTACGTTGAGGTGAGGTCAAAGTTTGCTTGTTTGATGCACGTTTGCTTATTTGATATAATTAAGGGCATTTTCAGTATTGCTGCAGCTGTTCAGACAGACTGTGCAGTCGGGCACGTACTACCAGCATACACGCCCACTCGAAGTTTCTGGCAGTACAGTTTCATGAAAAAGCTGTGCATGTTCTTTCTTTAAAAAAAGTTTAATTTCGATCCTAAACACTTTGCTTAGAGCAGATTTATAAACTTAATGTGACATACTAAGTGATTGTGCTTCGAAGCTAATTTCAATGTGTATTTATATAGGTCAGAAAGGCCAGCAGACAACATGGAAAGAGAGTGGTTCCTTGGACATGAGAGGATACACCCCCCCAAATCTCAACAGCCATTGTCTAGCTGCAGCGGTGTGTCTAGGCCCTTCTTGACTGTAAATGTGAACGAAATGCTTCGAGCTGACAAGCCCAACACCATCAGGAAGCCTGTCCCAATCCGTCCGCCAAGTCCCAGAGTTACTCGGCCAAAAGGACAAGACTCCCACAGCTTCCTCACCTGCGAGCCTACGCCGAAGCCTATCATCCGACAACGGTCACGCTCTCTGCCTTCTGGCACCCAGAACAAAAAGAAACAGAGCAGAGGTGTTGGCGTGAGGTTTATCGACTCTCTTGGGCTGGACCTGGAAGACGTTAGGGTGTTTAAATCAGGCGAGGACCCATTTGTGCCACAACATGTTACCTTCCGACTCTTGATGGGTGCCGAGATGACAGATGGAAGGCATCTTGAGATTAACTTGCCATACTTAAAGCCGGTTTTTGCCCAACAGCCCGGTGACCAGCCAGAGTTCCTGCAGCGTCTCCACGAACAGAAAGTGTGTCTGGAGAGGGTCTTGTGCTTCGAACTGGGCATTATCGGAATCACGCAAGTCTTAAACTTAGACTTTGAGAAAGAAGTTGAAGTTCGGTATTCGTTTACAGAGTGGAAAAGTTCTGCGGAAACCAAGGCTTCCTGGGTCTCCACTGTCACCAAAACCTGCGATGGAGAAGGAGGAAGAGGGGAGGAATTTAGTTGTGATACATTTCGTTTCCACCTACCAGTCCCTCCCTCCCTTCGACCAGGAGCACAGCTGGAGTTTGCTATCCAATACAAAGTTTGTGGGGCTGAATATTGGGACAACAACGATGGAAAGAATTATAAATTAGTCTGCCAAAACTACAAGCTAGCAGTGCCTAAAGAATGTGAAGACAGCATGGTGCATTTCATTTAGGATGCAGACTACATGGGTAAAAAAATGCAATGTGAGCACTTTAAATGTAGTAACAATACATATTGAGAATATCTATAGAGGATATGTTGCTTAAGCACTGCTAGAAAAATTATGCTAAGCAACAGAATCTACAAGCACTTTTATAGATAGAAGAGATCGAGCACTAAGGCATTTGTAGTTTTAAAAATTGCACGAAATAAATAATATGTATTTAAACACACTCCACACAGGGACATTTTAAAAGGGGAGGCCACCCTGCTAGATATCTATTGGAATAAATGATTTCATGCAAAATTTGTTGCCCAATATTCTCTCGGTATACATTTTTACTTGGATCCCATTAAATACGATGTCCAGAGCATTTTCCAAATAAAAACAATTTTTTTAAAAATTGCAGGTGTTTTATTTAGAGATGCAACAAGCATCTTTTTCCTGGTCAATGCAGTTTTCTAACAGATCTAACCTGCAAATTCCAATTTTGGATCAATTTTGATTTTTTGTTGTTCTAAGCACAAAAAAAGTTACGGATGAAAGAGAAAAAAAATGTGCTTTAAGCTTTCTGATTCATTGAAGTGTCAAAACATTTGTCCGTACACTTTATCTGTTTAATTAAATTCTAATCAGTGCAATAATGATGAGTTTGTGGACAGTAAATTAGACTAAACACCAATCAGAGATAATCAAAGGAAAATTCTGACAGAACGCAATGTTTTTGTGATTGATTGGTCCATCTGTAGTTGTATTCAATCCCAGTATTTCTGATTTCTAGTAATGAAATATGTATTTCAGTTTAATATAGCTATGCCAAAAAAATTTAGGTTAATAAGATCAGTGTTATAAGGGTTGGTTTTTTTTCAATACTTTCTTTTCATGTTTTCTGATTAAACATGCTGTCAGTGTTTGGTTTGAAAAATATTATTCAATCAAAGATGATGTATGATGTATTCCTAAATGTATCCCCTAAAAACTGACACTCAGTGTAAGAGGAAGAATGAATTTTGCATGGACACCTGGATTGGATGTTGGATATCATGAGTGACACTTTTATAAATGCATTAAAAACCCATAAAAGAGAATTCTGCTTTGAAGTTATTAGATCAGTTATTAGTTGGCCCTTTTTCTTAATTAGAAAAATCAACTCCTTAATAATAAAGATGATGCAAATTTTTTGACTATATATATTACTAATATATGGATTTAATGTACTTTAGTTATATAAAACAATTCCATCCATCCATTTTCTAACACCCTTGTCCCTTAGTGGGGTCGGGAGTTTAAAACAATTACATGAAAAAATATTTTAGATATTTTTACTTTCACTCTTTTACTGTTATTCAAAAATAAATGTATTTGCTGGGTATCTGAAGTGAAATAAGGTAAGATATTTGAGGCACATTTTATGTTCTTTTATTGTAATCAATATAAAATGTTTATCTTTGTCAAAATGTCGTTCTTATTTATACTAAAAATTATATTTACATTATAATTAAAAACTATTTATCAAAATTAATTGAACGGATTTTTTAGTATTAATTTTTAACCTCCCCCTCACAATGTGGTGACCTTGTAGACTTACATGCCCCTCACAATATGGCGAACGTATAGCTGTGGTATTTGAACCTCTACATAAGTCTACTTTTCTATGTTAACGACACTAGCGTACCAGATATCCCTTTTTACCATACACAAAAATATCATACCATGTCTATGGTCCTAACTCTCACATCACGAATCATAAAAACACTAAACAAAAAAAATTATACCTACATTTTATGTGCCTGAACAAAAATCTATAATTATTGTTGAACATCTTTTACGAATATGTGAATTTGTGCACATACACTCTAAAGCAAAGTCAATGTTGATAAGAGTCGGAGTGTTGGAAGTAATGGTGATATCACTTTAAGTCTACTTAGTTGGTAAAACATAACCACACATTTTACGTGTCTAGCAATGTGGTAGTTACCATACCGCATTGGTTGCTACCTTCCATAGTCTTGAAATCCGAGTGATTACAAAATTAGATTTACCTCCTCCATTTGACGAAACCAACGTCAGCATTGTCACCATTTGCCTGACTCGCGCGTGCGAGATTGACTTAGATTTCGCGGGTCTCCTGATAGCCGTTTGAACTAAAAATAACGGTCAAAAATATACTTTTTTCTTATTTCGTGTGGGTGGTTTTTACGATACGGTAAGTAGCTCACAATTAACACTGTGTAATGCTTATTTTATCGACGTATTTTCACCCGTTCAGTTCCATTATGATTGTTGAGTATTAATTGTTATCTAACCCAAAAGGTGAAGGTACTGCTATCAGAAGTTGTCGATAAGCTAGCAAAGTAGGTTTCGGATATTTTAACTTGGCTCTGTGTTTTTATATACGCTTACTTTAGGCTGATTTATTCTAGGTGAATGATGGAACATACGAAGAGTAAGTAAGCTTACTTTGTTAGTGTTTACACATATTGTTTTTAATGTCATTAGCAGATTTTTAACAGTCCTGAAGATATACTCCGAGACAGCAGTATCCTCTATTTCGTACAAATATAAATATATATATATATATATATATATATATATATATATATATATATATATATATATATATAAGCCATTGCATATCAATAGATTCTTCTCTATGTTAAGTATATTTATAAATAAGTTAGTCATACATGTGCTCAAATATTGTGTA